CTCCCGCTCGGGGCCGCCCCGCCCGGGCCGCCGCCGGCTCCAGCACCGCGGACAGCGGCCGGTCAGCACCGCGGACAGCGCCAGGCACCGGCGGCGGCATCGGGGCCGCCCCCATGGCGCTGCTCCGCGTCCTCTGCCTGCTCGCCGCGCTCAGACGTGAGTGCCGGGGGTCGGGGGGGGCTTGGACACCGGCACAGGACCGGGCCGGGCCCGGGGGCTGCGCTTGTTGCACGGGACCGCTCGGCACAGACCCGGTACAGACCCGGTACCGGCCTCGGTGCCGCTGGCACTCTCCGACCCCCTCGGGGCTCTGCGGGGCCTCGCCGGGGGTGGGCAGGGACGGGCAGGGACGGGGGAGGGGGTGTCATGGACGGGCAGGGACAGGAGGGACAGGCAAGGGAGGCCAGAGGGGAGCCCCCAGCCCTGCCCAGATTTCCCTCCAAGCTGCTCGTCCCCAGGCACTGCCGTCCCTTGGGCCCCTCCTCCGTCCCTCCCCGTCCCTCCCCACTCCTTGTCCGGCGATGACACCCGCGCCCTCTCACCCCACCACCCCGAGCCCCGGGCCGGGCACAGGCTCTGTCTCCGGCCCCTGTGCCGGGCGCTCACGCTGTGCCCCACCCAGGGAGCCTGGGCACGGACACGGAGGAGCGGCTGGTGGAGTATCTGCTGGACCCTGCGCGGTACAACAAATTGATCCGGCCGGCAACCAACGGCTCCGAGCTGGTGACCGTGCAGCTCATGGTGTCGCTGGCGCAGCTCATCAGCGTGGTGAGTTGACCAGGGCTCTGCTACCCCACCTGCTGGGGAGGAGAGGGGGCCCTGAACCCTCCCAGCACCCCAAGTGACTGCCCCCCCCTCTCTCTGCAGCACGAGCGGGAGCAGATCATGACCACGAACGTCTGGCTGACCCAGGTGGGCACCCTGGACTTTGCTGTGGCCCTGGGATCCCCCCCCGCATCCTGTCCTGGGCCCCCCTGCACTGGGACGCCCAGTGTCTACCCTGACCCAAGACTTCCCATCCCCCTGCCCACCCCTGTCACGGGGACCCCCAGTATACCCTGTGTGGGACCCTAATGCTCACTCTGCCCTGCCCCAGCCCCCCATACCTCCTGTGTTGGGCCCTCATGTCCCCTCTGCCCTGTCCCCCCCTCCACCCTGTGGCCGGGCTGGGCTGATGGCCCCTGTCCCCAGGAGTGGGAGGACTATCGCCTCACTTGGAAGCCAGAGGACTTTGACAACATGAAGAAGGTCCGCCTGCCCTCCAAGCACATCTGGCTGCCTGATGTGGTGCTCTACAACAAGTAGGTGGTTTTTGGGGGAGGCTGTGCATGCCCTGACCCCACGCAGGGCCAGGGGCTATGTCAGGCTGGACACCCCCAGGACTGACAGCACATCTCTCTGCCCCAGTGCTGATGGGATGTATGAGGTGTCCTTCTACTCGAACGCCGTGATCTCCTACGACGGCAGCATCTTCTGGTTGCCACCCGCCATCTACAAGAGCGCCTGCAAGATCGAGGTGAAGCATTTCCCCTTCGACCAGCAGAACTGCACCATGAAGTTCCGCTCCTGGACCTATGACCGTACTGAGATCGACCTGGTACTGAAGAGCGAGGTGGCCAGCCTGGATGACTTCACGCCCAGTGGCGAGTGGGACATTGTGGCGCTGCCAGGGCGGCGCAACGAGAACCCTGAAGACTCCACCTACGTGGACATCACCTACGATTTCATCATCCGTCGCAAGCCGCTCTTCTACACGATCAACCTCATCATCCCCTGTATCCTCATCACCTCCCTGGCCATCCTTGTCTTTTACCTCCCGTCCGACTGCGGGGAGAAGATGACGCTCTGCATCTCCGTCCTGCTTGCCCTCACTGTCTTCCTCCTGCTCATCTCCAAGATCGTGCCACCCACCTCGCTGGACGTGCCGCTGGTGGGCAAGTACCTCATGTTCACCATGGTGCTGGTGACCTTCTCCATTGTCACCAGCGTCTGCGTCCTCAACGTGCACCACCGCTCACCCACCACGCACACCATGCCACCCTGGGTCCGCACCCTCTTCCTCCACAAGCTCCCGGTGCTGCTCTTCATGAAGCAGCCGCGGCAGAACTGCGCCCGCCAGCGCCTGCGCCAGCGCCGACACACCCAGGAGCGCGCAGCCGCCACCACCCTCTTCCTCCATGCTGGCACCCGCACCTGCGCCTGCTACGCCAACCCTGGCACTGCCAAGGCCGAGGGGCTCAACGGCTACCGGGAGCGGCAGGGGCAGGCACCGGCCCCCACACCCGGCTGCAGCTGTGGGCTGGAGGAGGCGGTGGACGGCGTGCGCTTCATTGCTGACCACATGCGCAGCGAGGATGATGACCAGAGCGTAAGTCAGGGGATGCACCTGGAGATGGGCAGGGCTCAGGGTAGGTGGGCAGAGTGATGAGGTGCAGACAGAGCTGTGGGGTGCAGGCAGGGCCGTGGGGTGGAGAATGTGTGCTGGCTCGTGGCTGCTCCATGGGAAGGGATGTGCACAAGCACCAAGTGGGTCCCTGCCTAGATGTATCACAGCCTCTGCCTGAGCAGAGCGTCCTATGCTGGTCTCCGACCCACCACTGCAGCCCCAGATTGAAGCAGCTGCTCTAGAGAACCTGGAGGGTGCCAGGAGGCCTGGCCCTGTATGGTACTGTGCAGTTGCAGATCTTGGCAGAGTCCCCGTCCCGACTCTGCTCACTGGGGAGATGAGATTCCTGGGCTCAGCAGTGCTGGTGGCAGTGGGGGGAACAAGCCCCATGGGGCCCAGAGCAGGCTTGCAGGCAGCCCGGGGAGCTGCATTGCCAAGGGAGCAGACTTGGGGCTCTGAGAGCTGCCAAACTCCCAGTCCAGGCAGTGACGGGTGATGCCCAAGGTCCAGCCTGATCTGGCCTTTCTCCCGGTCCTGCGCAGGTGAGCGAGGACTGGAAGTACGTGGCCATGGTCATCGACCGTCTCTTCTTGTGGATCTTCGTCTTCGTCTGTGTCTTTGGCACCATTGGCATGTTCCTCCAGCCCCTCTTCCAGAACTACGCCACCAACTCCCTGCTGCAGCTTGGCCAGGGCACCCCCACCTCCAAATAGCGCGGGGAACGGCCGGTCCCAGGGCCAGAGGGCCGGGTGCTGGGCTCAGGCAGCCCCTGCAAACCAATAAATACTCACAAAGGACAGGGGTGGTGCCATCTGGTGTCATTTCATACAGTTCTGCGCTCTGTGGGCCAGAGGGAGCAGGATGCACTCAGGGTCAGGGGGCCTCTGGCTGCCCATGACTGATGTAAGAGGACAGGGAGAAATTGGCTCTGGAAGAGGAAAATCCCAGTTGCCAAGGGAGGGAGCTCCATGGGGACATGCCCAGTGCTTTCCTCTGCTCCTAGGAGCACCAGCCGCTCCCTGTACCTCACCCTGCCAGGCCATGCAGAGCCAGAGCCCCAGCGGGCAGCCCTTGGCCCCTGCCTGGCCCTGCCAACCCCTGTGCCATTCCTGGGACTCCCAGGAGCCTGGCAGAGCCTCAGTGACAGGGAAGGAACACAGGCACAGGGAGGGGGATGGAGCTGCTCAGCCTTGGTTCCTCGAGGTGAGCACATGGACCAAGCAGGAGGAGGCTATTTTTAGGTTCTACCTGCAGGCAGGGCCAGGGCAGTGAGTGCCAGGGGCTGCTCCAGCTCTGCCACTGTCCTCTGCTCCACTCCAGGCTCAATGCTCTGGAGCCAAGAGCAGATACAAGATGCAAGGAAAGGGAAAATACAATTAATCAACACAAGCTGGGAGCTGTTGGCAGCTGGGCCCTGCCGTGGGTCACTGGGCTGGCGGCTGTGGCTGGGCCGGCAGCGCTCCCTGCGCTCCCCTGGCTGGCGGGAATTGGCCTCATCAGGGAAAACTGAAATGGAGTGTTTGCTATAAATACCACTAATCCCTGTGGCTGGGGGGAGCAGGGCTGGCAGGGCCTGGCAGCACACAGGGCCGGGGAAAGCTGCACGCTAGAAATTAATTTAAATCCCAGCACTTCACCCAGCCTGAGAAATCCCAGCTGTTCCAGCTGCTGGTCCTGGAGCTCCTGCTCTCAGGGTGCACCTCAGTACTTAAATGTATTAGGAGCTTTGCCCCTAAAACAGCCCGATACCAGGGGCTCGTCCCACTTCATCCCACCTTTGTATTCCCTCTGCTCTTGGTCCAGTCTTGAGTCAGTGCAGCACAGGGGGGTCCTGCTGCACCCCAATAGGGACTGGAGTCCTGGGAGGGTGTGGGGAGCACAACAGGAGCCCCAGTAGCCTCAGGTACAGCACCCTGGGCAGCCACAGACGGAAGAGCCTCCAGCTCTGTCTTTGTGCTGTTGCTGCCCTTCTCTGCGCTGAGGCAGTTCCACCCCTCACAGCTCTGTGTTTGAGGGCAGTTGCAGACAGGCTGGACCTATGACAGCCAGACTTCCAGCACTGACCCTGCTTGGCCCCAGCCTGGCTGCCTCTGGCTGTCCTGTGGAGATCTACAGCCAGAGTTGGGGCCTTACTCCTAGACTCAGGGTTTCTCCTCCTCATTTTGGGCTGCACTTCCATGCCCACAGCTCTTTGGTATCTGTCCTAGTTACTAGTGTCATCTCTCACCTCAGGCAAAGCTGGCACAGGCCGTGCACAGGGAAAGGGGCTGCTCCAACAGTTTCTCACCTTCCACCAGCACATCTGGCATGAAGTTCAGCTCAGACACACAACAGGGCCCGCAGCCGCCACTGGCTTCCTGAGACTAGAAAAGAGACACGCCATCCTAGAGGCAGCATTGGGGAAGGAGCTGAGAGAGCCCTGCCCCTGTATTTCCAGGCTGGCCCAAGCCCTCGGAGGGCTCAGCTCTGCCCAATGAGCCCCTCGCTTGAGGCAAGAGGCTCCACAGCTCTACCCAGCTTCCTTGATTGTTTAGCAAATGCTAACACACCTCTGTCCTTCTCCAAACCCCACCCCAGGCCCCTCTTCCCCTCAGCAGAAATCAACACACCCATGGCCAATACTACAGAAATTTGTTATTAATGGAGAATGTTATGCTAGTCCTGCTGTGCCTTGCAGAGGTCAGTCCTGTGTCCCAGCTTGGCCAGGCTGCCAGTCACCTTCCAACAGAGACAGAGAAAGCCAGCCAGGCAGCTTGTTTGGTTTTTTTTTTTTCCTCAAAAGAGAAAATTTGCCTCAAAACCTGCCAGAGGGATCTGCAGTGTACGGTTCAAAGGTTTCAAGCTCACAGTCTGAGAATCCCTTTGGTTTCTTGTGCCTTCTTTTAAAAACAAAAAAAGGGGAGACAAAACTACAAAAGCTAAGGGGGACTGAGCCTGCCCTCACTTTAAAAAAAGGAGAATCATTTACATGCACATTTTAAAAAGGCAAGGTCTGAGGGTCAGGGAGGAGGCAGCCAGGCCTATGGGGAAACTGCTGCACGGTCCTGACTCCACTCCAAGAAGGTGGTGGTGGAAGAAGGACAAGTGCAGACTGTGTACATTCACCTCCCCCCCTTGCAGGGCGCTTCCCTATGTATCAAGGACAGAGAAATTCTCCTCCTCTTGGGGTTTGCGGATCCAGCTGCCATAGCCCAGCTCTTCCAGCGTGCTGAAGAAGCACTGCTTGGCTGCCTGGTACAGCGTGGCTGCCTCCTTGGCATCGGAGTACACAGAGAGCTTCAGCAGGTCTTCGCGGTTGTTCTTGGCACACAGCTGCTGGAACAAGGTGAACATTTTCCTCTTGGACACACGAGACACTTCCAGCTTTGGGCTGAGAAGGAAGACACAGGCAGCAATGAGGGACATGACACTCAGAAGAGCCAAGAGGAACACAGGGCTTGGGGAAAATCTCACGATGGGGGAACTCTGGGCTCAGCAGGGCTCTGTGGTAGGGTCCAGGCTGGGCAACTTTTGGTTTCCTTCAGGAGTGCTTGCTCATGTCCGTTTGAAATTCCTCCCTCCAGCCCTCCCCACGTGTAGGGTGCTGTAACAGCGCAGAGTGTACTCTCCACCTCAGAGTTGACCCCCTTTCCCCAGCAAGAAAAGCAGTGTCAGGAAAGGCTCTTCTTACCCATCTACTTTCCCTTTGGTGCCATCCAAGACTTCAACTTCGCTTGCATCAGCAAGACACCAGTTCACCGATGACTCCTTGGTCTTGCCTGTCTGCCTGGCAGAGTCGTACACGCTGACTCGCCCAACCTGAGGGAGAGCCAGGAGGGTTCCTTAACCTGGTCCTCTTGCCCCTTCCATCTCCCACAGGTTCAGCTCATCCTAAACTTTAGAGAGCGGCAAGGATGAGGTTCTTACTAAGCTGAAGGTTACAGGGGCAACTCTGGTCTCCTTTCCGCCAGACCAAGACATTGCTAGTAACCCCCACACTGCGGGGTGACAAAGAGGGAAGGTTCTTGGGGTTGCCCTGTGCAGGGCCAGGAGTTGGACTCGATGAGGCATTGTGGGTCCCTCCCAACTCAGGATATCCCAAGACTGCTGCCTAGTGACCCCCTTGCAGAGCGCCTTGGGACTCCAGAACCCACAGGCAGAGGAACAGGCAGAGGTGCCACAGCTGCAGTACCTCAGGATGGTTAATGTGATATGGAGCCTGGAGCTTTTCCTTTAGTATGTTCCCATCCCTCGCCACGCGGCAGCAGATGGCACGGGTCAAGTGACCCTGACTGTACAGGTAACCTGTGGAGATAGAGGTGAAGGTGGCACAGGTGATGGACCGGCCAAGCCCTGAGAGCCACAGCACTGCTCACAGGCTCCTGAAAGTCCATGGCACGTGGATCAGCACAGCTATGTGTACCCTGGGTGTGTAAGACATAGGTTTACAGACTACATTTCTCTCTGAAGACATAAACATACAGTTTTTGTCTCACTCTCCTAGATCACATGTGCCTCCTAAAAATCCAGAACCCACTCCACCCACAGCATAAAATCCACAGACTCCCTTTTCACTTCCAAACAGCTCTGCCAAGAATGATGTTTCAGTCTGTTACTCCTACAGCTTCCACAAACAAACTTTGCCATCACACAGGGGAGGGAGGTGACTTGTCACTGCAGCCCAGTTGTACCACCCCACCCCCGAAAGGTCGGAGGATCTCTCACCGAGCGTGACAGAGCTGAGATAAACTGGCTCCAGGAAGTGTGACAGCAGTGCCCCTTGCAAGCCAAGTATATTCCAGCGCAAGATTTTGTCACTGCAGGACATGGTTCGTAACCGCTCCCCGTGCTGGATCCCATCCCATGTGGGCACAATGTCACTTGACTCCACGGGAATGGTACCTTCCCCTGCACGACAGAAAAGAAAGCTTTTCTGTACAGTCAGATATTCAGTAAATCAAACCCCATCAGAAACCGCACAAGAATCTTCTGGATACCCAGAGTGACCTCCGAGTCTGACACCAGGTTCGGGGAACAATCTGGTATTCAGTATTGAATACACATGAGTAATTTTCAGCATGGCTGAAGCAGAATAGAACAGTGCTTGAAAAAGAGGGCAGAGACATAGGAGTTTTGCAGCAAACTTCGGCTGCAAATGTCACAAGTGTGGCAGTTCCAACGGGCAGAGCTGGGAAAGGGAAAGGACTCTGATAATGCTCTTCCATCCACCCACCTCCTTTGGTTCCTGAGTGCTTCAGATTCCACAAGAGCACACAGAGAGGGGCAAGGAAGCTCTGAAGCACCAGAAAGGCTCAGAGGAGAGGACTGGAGCCATCCCACCATGCAGGGAGTGATTGCACTCACCATTCTCCACCTTGGTCCGCAGCTTGCCTTGCTTGGGGTTCTCAAAGAGAGGTTGGTGCTGGGGCTGCCCCACCACGCTCGCCTGGTCGCTGCAGGATTTATCAAAGAGGGCTCCGTCTCCACACGGGGCTGTGCTAGAAAACAAACCCTCCCCCATTAGCACTGACTGTCAGGAAACAGCCAGGGCCAGGGGGGTGACAGTGCTGCTGACACAGGTCACCCAACCCCTCCCCACAAACCTGACATAGAGGTGAAAGGTAACACTGCTCTTTATTCTGAGCCTCTTTCCTCCCGCTGGCTCAAAAATGCTCTCTTCTGCAGAGGAAGGATTAGACAGGTCATACTTCATCAGCTCACTGTAGAGAAACCTGAAAAGAATACCATCCTGTCAAAAGGCTGCTCTGGTCCTCAGACAAGGAGTGCTTCAATCGACAGGCAGGTTCCCACATCCCTCACTCCTGCTACGTGGGAGAGTGGAGACTAGGAGCTGTAGCCAAGCTGGGAGGCCAGCAAACAGTGCTTGATGCACAAAAAGGGCAAAAAGTCTAGCAAATTTTCTGCCATGAAGAGGACAAGTGGTAGAAAAGTAGTATCCTGTCCAGGGAGCAGGGGGAATCACTGGCAGGAGAGGAAGGAGCCTGGCTGGCTGCTGCTTGCATGCACCTGTTCCCAGTGTGAAGAAGACTTCAAGGTCTTCAACCAACACCTTTAATCAGCACCAAGTTTGTGTTAAGATTAAATGGCCCTGTGGGTAGCTGAACTCAAGTGGTATTACCACGACCCCATAAGGGTCTTTTATGGCTGCTTCTGGACAGGGAAAAACCTTGAGGTCTCCAACACAGTGTCAAGAACTAAAGAAAAACTGCAGCTTCCTAGAGAGTCCTTGAGCAGAGCCTGTGCAGGGACTGATTTTGCAAGGAGAGGTGAAGCATGCTGACAGGCTCTGCTATGCCAGAGCAGCCACCGTTGTCAAGATTAACAGCTGAGACAGACATTAAGCGAGACACAATCCTGATTCATCACTTCCCAGGGACCTGCCCTCAACACTTTCCCTTGCTGAGGAATGCAGAGCACAGCGGCAGCTCACAAAGGCTTGAAGGAAGCAGCTCGCTTTGCTGTTCAGAACTGAAGGGCAAACATTGAACAGGCAGTCCAGCTTCATCTCACTTCAGTTTTTTTAAAAACTAAGTGTCACAGTGAATGTTTATACAGAGAAGACAACTGTGCAGTTTAGTTGGGAAAACCCTTTACAACCTCTGAAAAAGGACTGCTGACTTATCAAGGCAAACAGATGCAGGATGTTTTCCTGAATCCTTCTATACCCAGACGCAGAAAGGCCAGGAGAGGACCCAGCCTGCAGTGCTTGGCTGGTGGTGGGAGCTGTGCTGAGGCTGGAGAGCACCCTGCAGACGGTCCAGCAGCCTCAGCAGGAGGCTCTATTTTAATAACTTCGGATGCAGCCCTTGGGCTCCTGGCAATTCTCCCATTCAGTACTAATTTGGGCACCACTCAGGCATGGCCCCTTCTTATCAGAAATAACTTCCCTCTTTTTAACAACACATGGATAAACAGTGTCAGAGGATCACAGCACCTCTCAGTGCAGCAAGGAACTGTTTCAGTTTCACCCCTCCAGAATGGGTCAGCATCTCCTGGTAGGCCTCTCCATTTCCTTTGGATTTCCCCTTTTCTCACCTCACAAAGCCTCTTCGAGAAATGATTTCTGCATGACAATCATTTACTGTCTCCCCCTTCAAGCTCAGCTCTTCTCCTTTCACACAACGATTACCTGAAATAAATAAATAAATAAATAAATAAATAAATAACAGGGCAAGTGTCAAAGTCAAGACACAGCTTCAGAGATAGAGGGAGAGGTTCATTTTGTGTCAAGTCTTACTTCTTTGGGCTCTTGAGCAGCAGCAGCACCCTGGCTATTAAATCATTATCTTGATCCAAGCAGTTAGGAAAATAAAGGGAAAAAAAGCACACACTACTTTAGGGACAGACAGACTAAAACTGCCACAGGTTTAGGGGCACTGACCCTTCATGAGGGCTTTGCAGCCCACCACTCCTGGTAGAAGGCTGGCAGCTAAGTAGGGAGGGAGATAAGGTACATGCAGCTGTGAGAAGCTGGGGGATCGTGTGCTGTACCACACGAGGAATCCACGCTCTGATGCACAGGCTAGCATGCAGCAATGCAAGCGAAGATTAAGAGCAATACAGCTCCAGGCACATTTGCTTTGTTCTCTCTCTTTAACTAGATCGCTTGTGACACCACTTGAGCCCTGGGAACATTTTGTGCCCTCTCTGAAGAGGCCCACAGCCACAGCCATTTCTGAGCCGTGGCTGACAGGAAATCTTGCATGGAAATGAGAGTTCAGAGTGTGCTGGAGGAAGCTGTTCATACCTGTTCCAATGCTGACCACCACTCCCAAGCCCTTATTTGCTCTCCTCATGATGATGGCAGCCAGGATCTTGCGCCCGAGCAGACTGTGCTGGATGTGAGCGGTGAGGCTGTTGAAGCGCTGGTGGCTCAGCATGGCCATCTGATCGTGCAGGGTGCTGCCACTCACAGGGAGCTGGGGTGGGGACACACCACCACAGATCATGAGCAGGCCACACAACACCACAGCTCAAGGAGTAACTAACCCACAGTGCAGCTTTCCAAGGAGAGGACAGAACGCAGAAAACACGCACTTTGGGCAGTGCAGTTTGGAGCTGTTACACGGACACTTCTGTATCAAGGGGTGCGTGAACTTCTTTTGGGTATTTCTAGGAAAACCTCGTCCAAGGCTTTCAATTCTGCTCTGGCCACATCAGAGACAGCAGCAAGCTGTCTTCCCGGCAGCAAGAGGCACAGGCTGAGGAATGGCCCCCCGAGAATGCCAGGGAAAATCCACAGCGCAAAGCAACAAACCCATCCTGCCTGTTCCCAGAGACTCAGCCAAGGAAATCTGCTCCTGGTTTTGGAGGAACTCCTCCTCCGGCCGCCTGTGAGGAGAGTGCACAGTCACTCTCATTGCAGACGGACTCACCTCCTCCAGCACTGCTGACTGACAAAATTTTCCCTGATGGCTTTGCTATTTAGAGCCCCAGCTGCTGTGCTCAGCTGTGTCGGCTGGAATGCGGCTTTTCAGAGATCACAATGCTCTAAGGGCGATTTAGAGCAGCCCAGGTTTGGGACAAGCCATCCTGACACAACGGACAGTTTTGCTTATGTTATCTGATACACGAGTCTTTATGAGCTGACACACCATTTTTAAAGCAGCACGAAGGAGTCTGAAAGTAATAAAAAGTCACATAATTAAAAATGAGCATGTTCCTACTCTACCACAGGAACACACTTGAGTAGCTGGAGGAAGAATTTGATGATAATTTAGCCCTAAAGCAGAGGCCAGCAGGACGGAAGGATAGGCCTGTGCCCTGAGGAAACATCTAACCCACTTCAGGAAAACCACATCAGCTTATCTACAGCTGCAGAGAACAAAGACATCACAGTTGATTTTGAAGGCACTTTTCTGCTGGACTGAAGGGAGGAGGACAGGCAGGGCTACAAACACAGTCCCACCTGTGGCAGAAGATTTACCTCAGTGATGTTCATCCCTTCCATGCGCTCCACCTTCTCCGACTCCCCGACCAGGACTCGCAGCGCTGCACCCGCTGCCTCCTGCTTGCCCTGCTTTTTGCTGCGTGCAGTCACAGCCGGGAACCAGCGGCCTCCAACCTTTGCCTGACAGACAAACCTATGAAGAAACCAAGAAACCTGTGCATTTGAGTCTGGTTTTTAAATTCTCTCAGTGGAGAGAGGAGGGGAGTGGAGGGAGTTTACTGTCATCAAGTCATAAGGTTTGGCAGAGGCAGCAGCTTGCCCTGTTGCCATCTCAAACTGCAATTTTGATCTTTCTGTCCTTTCTCCAGGACAACAGCAGCAGTGCAAAATTTCCTCCTGGGCAGGTGCAGCTACTTACTTGGGGCCATGGGGAGGTCCTGACTGGTCAATGAGTTTGAACTCTGCAGCAAACCCATTGGAGCGGGCATATTCCAGCAGGCCACTGACAGGATTGACATTAAGATATTTGATGAGCTCCCCAACACCCTTTGCTTTCACCACCTTGGACTCATCTGGAGTGGCAATCCACGGCCCACAGCTGTGCACGGACTGGTCACCATGGGGCTTCGTGACAGGCTAGAGTGGAGTTAGACAGGAGAAGGTTGTTAAACACTGAGCAGCTGGATTTACGGCAGGCTAAGAGCAGCAGCAAACCTCTGCTAGAGCCAGCATGTGACCTTTTGGGATGAAATCCAGTGGAATAGGAAATAAAAGATGGGGAACATTCAACTCAAAACGCTTGGGTCTTATAAAGAAGCTCTTTTGTACCTGTTCAGGCAAGACATGGGGTACAGACTTTCCAGAAAGAATCTTCACAGCAACTTCTGCTGCCATTTGCTTTGCTCCCTTCTTGCTGTTTCCTACCACAGCAGGGAAAATTTGGTCACCCATTTCCACACAGTAGCTGAACCTGACAGGACATTATAGCACATAAAAAATGTTAACCATAGGTGTCTCAATCTGGTTATTATCCCCTTTTCCCACTTCCAGATAAATCCTTCTGGCTTATCTCCAACTGAAATCTACCGTTATGGCCCTAAACACTTCCACTAGAGCACCACCAGGTAGGGTACAGGACTGGAACCTGCTTCTGCTCTGGTAGAAGAAACAGTACTTTTTCTCTGAGAAACGGCATTGCTTTGTGTCTCCTTCTGGAGGCAGATGTCTTGGAGGAGCCATGCCCAGAATCCTTGGATAAGAGGAGCACTCAGCTAGGTCAGTGACAAGTCCAAGAACGAGGGTAGCATGCTGAAGCGTAAGGATAGTGAAGAAAGAGTTTCCATCCTCCCCCAAAGCTGACAAGAATATGCCATACCTAGGATCATGAGGTGGGCCTTCCTGAGACAGCAGCTGGAACTCAATTACGTTCCCTGACTTTTGTCCATACTCCATCAATATGCTGATAGGGTGCTTCCCAGGAAGCAGGTTGAGGGGAGCTGCTGCAGATGACAGCTCTGGCTGCAAAGAAGACAGAGGAAACCAGTCTCAGACTAAACATTGCCTGAGCAGCCTCACAAGGTAAAGAAAACAGGACTCACCAACTCCAGTTCTGAGCATTTAATCCCACTGGGCCTTCCATTCTCCGCTTCACTCATCAGGACCTTCATGGCATTGGCTGCTGCCTCCTGTTTAGCCAGTTTTTTGCTCCCTGCTTCTGCTGGTGGGAATTGGCGCCCATTGATCACTGCCTGGAACTTAAACCTTTAAAAAGAGAAAACCAAAGAAGTAAATCAAGAGGCAAAAGTGTGGTCTTCTCAGAGCAGGCAAGTAGGCTGCTCTTGGAACTGAAGGGAGGAGGAACAGCCAGCTCCTGACTGGAAGAGCAAACCCAGGCTGCCATGTGCAGAAGGCAAACACCAAGGGTACGCCAACAGCGCTGCATCTGAGCCTCGTTTCATCACATTTCCAGTGCTGTTCATGACAGAGGAACAGCTCCAGGTTTTGTTCTGAAGGAACAGGAGGAATTGCCTTGTTCCACGAGTGTCAGGAACAGGTAATGGCTGTATGCAGACAGCAGTTCTGTTGTGGCTCCTGCCCAGTAATAAGAAAGCTCGAAAGCAGCCTGTACTGTTTCATCTGCACCTGGTCATTCAGGGTCACTCCTCCCTCTGGCATTCTCCCTGGCTACCCAGGGCATTCACACCATCTCAGAGAGGTGCTGCCTCACATAAACCTCTCGTCTTTGACATTTCTGTCCTTCTCCTTTCCATGAACTCTAACAAAGTTTATCTTCTGTCCTCTAGCCCTGGAAACCTGCTTCCAAAGAGAATGGATCTAAGCAGATCTAGAGAAGGCTTATTGGGCTGAATTCATTCAGATCCCTCCTTAAAACCGAAACAACAAACCCCTGAGACTCTGTCTTTAAAAATGAGGCCAATTTTCCTGTCTAGTGGATCTATTGACATATTCCAGCACAGCACATATGGTGCTTTTCACCTCTCCCTGGTGCTCCAGAACAGTCATGATTCTGCAAGGGACAGCAGGACTGCAGAGACTGACTCCACCAACTCTAGTGCCATGCTATATGTGCTTGGCTCCCAGAATCTGCTCTGACCTGCTACACCACAGAAACGTTCAGAGCGGGGCCACTTTGGCTAACCCAGGACATCTACACCCAAACACTTTGTTCTGAGCTCTTTTTATACCATTTCTAGGGTGAGAACATCTTGAGAGACAGCTCCGAAATACCAGTTTCCCTCTATACGATCAAACTGAAGGCAAGTAATTAAATGAGATGGGACCTAGTGAAGAGATGAATCCCATCTTCACTACTTAGGATGAGGTGCTGGATTGCCAAAACTGGGCTACCTGGGGTTAAATTTTAGCCTTGTTTTATTTCTTAAGCTGATGCAAGGAATCAACGAGGCTAATCCTTCTGAAATGAAAGAAACATGAATGAGCAGGCCCTTCAGGACACAGCTGAGAGGGTGAACTTAGTTGAAGTCAGATCATCTTAAGCAAAAAGAGATCAGAAAAGGTAGGACATTTTCTTACCGTGGCCCATGAGAGGGTCCACTCTGCTCCAGCATGATGAACTCACAGTGCTGGTACGTGTACTGGGAATATTCAGTAAGGCCACTCACTGGGTTCTTCTCCTGACAAGCCATCAATTTCTCTACGGGCATACATGGTAAAGCAGCTTCAAACTGGGCAGCATAACTGGGGGAAGACTGAGAATTCATGACGCATTTTGACTTGTCAGGCTGCTTGTTGATAGTGTTCAGATTATCTGGGATATCATCCATGGTCCACTTGCCGTTTTCCGAGTTATCATAATTACTCAAACTGGAGAACTCAGTGTCCTCAGCCGTGTTCGCTCCTGTGTCACTGCCATTGCCCTGACCAGGCTGCTTCAAAGGCTGCTGTCCATTTTCTACACTTTCTGCTTTTGATGCCATCGCTGCTGGCAAAGCTGCTGTCACCTCCTGGCGACACACAGGGACAGAGGAAGGGGGAGGACCCAACTCAGGAGGTGTGGGATTCACCTTCTGTATTAATGCGCTGGCCTTCAGCCTCATCTGCATCCTCTCACGTTTCCTGTCTGTCAGGGACCACCGTGGGGGGATTGTGTTCTGCTTGTGGACATCTCCCAGCTTTTCCAGAGCATTGAGAAATGGATTAACGTCCCTGGCCCTTGAAAACCCAATGTTTTTGGCAAGGTTGAGTGCCGTTGTTTCTGGCACGCTGAACAAGTAGTTGCAGATTTTCTCCTTCATCTCAGCCATCTCTGTGTCTCCTGAGCCAAGTGTGCTCCTCTCTCCTCCTCTGCTTTCACAAGCTGGATCTGTGCAGCCGGCACTGTGGTCAGCAGGGCTTCTTTCCCTCCCTGAGCTGGGGCTGGCAATCCTCCACAGCGGCGGTGTCTCTCCCCCCTTGTGCAACTTGCCTTCTCTGAGGAGTTTATACAAAATGCGGTTGACCTCTTTCTTTTGAGTTTTAAGTTTGTGTGTGAGATCATGAACTGTGCAAGTCCTTCCCTCCCCGAGCTGCCTGAAAATAGTCAGAATTTCTTGTTCGCAGTCTTGCCTGGCAAGAGACAGTCTCTGGAAATTCAGCCTGATAGTGTCAGAGTCTCTCCCTGGGTTCTCCTGACGACAGTGCCGTGGAGGGCAAAACTGTGGTGAATTCCCACGGTATTGCTGCTGACTAGAGAACCTCCAGCCCCCTGCCCTGCCGCGGCCAGGCCGATGTGTCCCTGCAGGAGCCGGTGCCACAGCCTCCTCATGTGGTCCCTGCCCCTGCAGCGGGCAGACCGCAGTGTCCTGCTCTGTCAGGAACTGCTGGTGCAAAAAGGTGCCCTGGTTAGTTTCTTGTGGGGTACAAGGGTGGTTATAAAAACCTCGCGTAGTGCCGGGGTGGTTATGCCTTGCCCGAGTCAGATACGAGCCTCTGCCTCGCCCAGCACCTCTGATCATAGACACGTGGGGGACCCGGGCTGCTGGCACGCCAGGAGTGGAGCTGCCTGTCCTGAGGAGATAAAATGCAGCAACTCAGGATGCAGTTGTGTTGCAAACAGTTTGATAAAATAATCAAGATTTGATAACATAAAAGAAGTATTTGTGATTAAAGGTAGAGAAGCACAGTGCACCAGAATTGTTAGGGGTGTTGTGTTTGAAAGAATGGAACCACAGGAATCTCACTGGACCATACAAAGTCGCTTTGAAGTCCCCTACACTCTCTCTGTCTTGGTCTGGACACTGCCTATCCCAGCTAAATAGTATAGACCAACGATTGTTGAAGAATAACACTATACACCTGAAAGAACCAAACATTTCAAAGATTTCATTTTGTCATCATTTCATTAGATTTAAGAGTGGAGCGGCTGGACCATAACTACTATACAACTAAATAGAAGAACAGAACTTAGCTAGGCATGACAAGTATAAAAATAAATAGAAGAATAGAAACTTACGTAACTATAAAGTATATAAACTGTACAAATTTTGTTGTTGGGAGAACACGTTTAGGAGGAGCTGATTCCCCTGTGTTCCCAGCGCTGTAATAAAGAAGTGTCACTTAATCACATCAAATTGGTGCTGGATAAATTTCCCTCATCACATTTGGTGATAGTTACACAACTACAGGATTCCAAAAACGCAGTTTAAACAGCTTCCCTGACACTGAGGCACTTCAAGCATCTTCTCCTTACAAGCCTGTTTTCTGCTTTTCTAGGAGTCTTAAATTATTCCTGCAAACATAAACAGCAAACTCTGTCTGCCCAGCATATAGCACCAGCAGGTGAAGTCAACCATGAGAAGCAACTCTGCCAAGAGTGACCCTCTGCTTCTGTTGGACGAGATTCCAGCACGTGATGTTCAAGATGCGCTTCCCAAACACAGTGAGCTCCACTCCCTCTCTGCCCTGAGGGAGAGTAGAATCTCACACGTGCTTTGCAACCTGAGAAACAGAAGCACGAGGAGGTAAGGGAGCATGAGGAGGTGAACTGGAGCAGCTCACGTGGTCAGACAGCAGAGCTGCAACAGGCTAATAATAATTTTCAGATTCGTGGCCAAAGGAGTCTGAAACCCCAAGTGCCTTTTTCTCCTTGGGCACTAGGTGACCTGGGGAGGTAAAGCATCACACTACACACGCAGATAACATGCACAGAAATCGGGACAGGTGTGCAGCTGGCAACAGTTTTTTTGGACTGCAACCCAAGTTCCACTCCTATCGCACACAGCTGTGCCGCTCCCCCAGGGTGCAGGACATTAGACTAAACTTTCAATATGCTTTTTAAAAATAAGGAACCCAGCACAGCATATATTCCAATTCTTTGACAACAGCTGGCTGTGAAACTGAGAGGATAAAGACATGGAGCACGAGACAGGGCCCATCCTGCCCGCTCCCTCATGACCCATCGTCACAAAGACAGTTCTTCCTGTACCAGTCTCATCTTTATAAAGCTCCCCATCTTCACCAAACACACCCCGAGGCCAACTCAAATTTCCCTTTCACTAAACTGCCTCACTCGGCTGCCACCATGGGACTTATTTTCCAGTAAACACGGGGAGCCGGGTTCCTTCCTCCCCAACTCCGGGGGAGCCCCTGCTCAGTGACCTCGTTTTACAAGCGCTCTCTGAGTGAAGGGCAGGAAGAGGGGTTTGGAAAAAAACTCTCTTACCTCAGTCTCATCCGCACGCCAAATTATTTTATGAGAAAATAAAGAGGAAAAAAAAAAGAAACCCCCACCCGCAGGTGTGCCGACGAGAGGAGGCGGCGCCGGGCAACCGCCGAAGATGGCTGAGAGGCCCATTTCGGTTTCGTTTCCCGCAGCAGCCCCGCCCAAGGCGCTCGCAGCGGGGACTGGCCGAGTTTCGGGCTTTCTCAGACACCGCCTGCCTTTGAGAGCGCTCATGAGATTCCTTCTCAGCGCCGGAACCTGGGGCGGGAAGGCGAACCCCGTGGGGCAGCTCTTTCTCCAGGGCGCCTGGGAGAAGCAGCCCCGGCACTCGTGGGGTCCCGGTCGGCACAAGGGGGGCGGCTCGGAGAGAAGGGTTGCGGGAACAGCCGTCACCTTCAGCTGCACCCCCAAGGGAGACCCCGGGGACCGCGCAGGGCGGGTGCCACTCACACCCGGGTCACACTCCGTCCCCCTGAGGGCCGAAGGAGTGACGAGGGGCTCGCCCGGACGGCACCGCGCACGGGAGGGACGGCGAGCACCGACAGCCGGGATTCGAGGGGAGCGATTTATTCCGCGCCTTCCGCCCCACGGAGCTCGAGCCCGGCAGAGCCCCCTGGACAGCCGGGACACGGTCCCGCCGCGTTCCGGAAGCCCGCGGGGCCGCTCACGCGCGAGGCTGCAACGCGGCCTAGTCCCGCCGCCTCATCAGGCCTGGTGGCCGCTGCAGGACACACCGCGGGCGGTAGAGACGTTAGGGACCAGGAAAGATCCAGGAGGGCCCCTCGAGGTTCCGGCGGGGCCCGAGGCCGCCCCTCCCCCCCGCATCCCCTTACCCGCCGCTGCCGCCGCTGCCGCCCCTGCCACCCCTGCCGGCGCACGGTGATGATGAACACTGACCCCCGCGCCTGCGCAAGGTGCGGAGGGAGCCGCGCGGACGCCATCTTGACTGGGGGCAAAGCGCGGCCGCCATGTTTGACCAGGGCAGCGCTTGGCGGTGCCGGCGGTGCCGGCGCCGCCGTCCCGGTGGGGCCCGGCTCGGGCGCTCCGCTGTGGGAGAGACGGCACAACCGCATCCCCTTCCTCCGGCTTGGGGGAAGCGCCGCTTCCGCTGTGTCCCGAGGTATCGCCTACGCTATAGGAGCGCGCCGCCGCCCTGCTGCGCATGCGCAGCACGTATCTCTCCCCCCCCATTGGCCCTCGGTACCGCAGGGCGCTCGCGGCCTGCGGAGTCTCCCCTCCTACATAGGCCCCTCTGTGACCCGTGGAACCCCCATTCTCTGTGGGCCCCCTGTCTGCCGTGTGTCCTTTGGATCCCCTCTTCCCCGTCGGGGCTCCCCCATCCCCCTGTGGTCCCCACCATAGTCTCTCCTTTCCCAGTGTGGGGCTCCTCTTTTTTCCACAGGCTCCCCGTTTCCCGTCCGACTGCTGTCACCTCCGTTTTTATGCATGCTTTTTAGTGCTAGAGGTGCCCCGGGTCATGTCCCACCCTGGCCCAGGTTCCTTCTAGGCGGACGGAGACAATTCCCTTCCCCGGCCCCAAACCAGGCATGGACTCTGCTGCCGGTCGATCCTCCCTTTCCCAGGCGAACACATTCCAAACGAGATGGTGTGAGTTAGAAAACTACCGTCAGAGAACAGATTGTCCCTGTCTGCCGTGTGTCATTTCCTATCTGGCACAGGCACTGCCGGGCTCCCGTGGCTCAGAGGCTGCCAGTGGCTTGGAGCAGCGCCTTGGGCACAGTGGTACCTGTGGCTGTGGGTATGGATTATTCTTAAACCAGAAGGCTTGGGAGCCAAGCTTTCAGATGCACGTCTGGACCAGCCGTGGTGGGGTGGGTTCTTCTCCCAGGTAACAAGACCAGGGGAGGTTTAGATTTGATGTTAGGGAAAATTTCTTTGTGGAAGGGGTGTTCAGGCACTGGAGCAGGCTGCTTGGGGCAGTGGTGGAGCCACCATCCCTGTAAGTGTTCAGAAAAGGTGTGGATGTGGTAAATGGGGACGTGGTTTAGTGGTGGCCTTGGCAGTGCTGGGGTAACAGCTGGGCTCTGATGCCTTAAACTCTATATTATATAAAATTTTAGTATAGCTCTTTCAGTATATCACCTTTGTATTAGATTCCTAAAGTGTTGCTAAACGTTTCTTGTCAAGAATTCCAACAGACAAAGATTTTAGCAAGGTGAAAAGCCTCTTATCTGTAGAAAATATACTCAGAATAAGACAGAATAGGATGTAACAGGTTACACCATTGAATATAACCAAGTCAAAACTACTCTGATGCCTTGAACCTGTTCTAAGAAGGACAGAGATGATGATGAGGAGGAGGATGGGGATGAAGAGGTGGTCATTTTACGACCACCAACCCAAATTTGGGAGGCGTGGTGAGGGTGGGACAATGGGAGGAACAGTTTTGGGAATGGGTGTATCTAATGAGGTAATGCCCAGATATTATAATTAGATGTTATTATAAAAATTGTAAAGGCCTATACTGTTGTATGTGCAATATATTTTGTGCACCAAAGGCACCACAATTAAAGAGCTGCTTTCTACCTTTCTATACTCAAAATTGTCCAGAGAATTATTTCTCTGATTTTAGGCAACATCTCAATGATCTTAAAGGGCTTTTCCAACCTCAACAATTCCATGATTCTATAACAACCAATGAGCAATTGTCACATCTGGGACCATCATCTGTGAGCCCCCAGACCCTCCTCTGCCAGTGTGGTGGGTGTGTGTCAGAGACTGAAATGGTTAATGATTTATGCATTCTAGGAGACTTTTGCAGGCTTTTGACTTGCATGATACCTCTGATGAGCAGTCGGGCCCCTCCCTCCCTCCAGAGCTGAAGGTGTGAAGCCCTGAAAAGGCAAGAAGCCGAGCTCGCAGGCTTTTGACTGTTGATACATCTGATGAGCAATCAGGCCCCTCCCTCCCTAAAGGCGGGAACCGGGCGAGACAAAAAAAAACCACTCAGCACAGACCCAGGAGTTGTTGGAGGCTCGAGGCATGGCCCGTGATATAATAACTCATAACTTCTTAGAGTATGGGGGCTTCCCCCCTTCACCCCCAGAAGATCAAGGCCACCACTTCAACTGACAGACATGGAAGCATCGCTGGACCCCGTGGGCGGTGACTATAGACATCTGTCCACTCTCAGCTTTTCTTTCCCTTACTCTCCCTTGCTCTTATCCTGCCTTTCTCTCCCCTATGCATTTTCTTTCCCTCCCCAAAGGTTATCTCTGTGTCACATTGTTGTATGACAGCACCCAAACTGCTAGCATGCCTGTTAATACAGAATTGTTAAAATAAATCTCGTCAATATATGTTTTCAAACACCGATTATTTAGTGTCGTTTCGCTTTAATCCACCCCAAAGGAATTATTGATAAAACCTGGGTTACCCCCTCTGCCCCCTTTTTCCTGGGGCGGGACGTAACAGTGTGGAGGGGAGCTGGCAGGGATGGGCACAGGGTCTGGATGAATTTCAGGGGTACATCTCCCTACACTTGCCTATGAATGGGCAAAACACACGAAGACAAACTCCTCAGAGGACCCTGGTCTGTGTGTCCAGTGGAATGGTAGCTTGTGTGTGCCTTCATGCGGGGCCCCTGCTCCCACCATGACCTCTTCACTGCAGCATTCCAAAGGTGTTTCAGTGATCCTGGGGTCACAGCATGGTGCAGAAATGGTGAGTCAGGCCCCAGAATTGGCAGGCTCATCTGCTGCTCACATTCAGTGATGCTTTTCTGAAGCTGAAGCTGTGGATTGTTCAGGGTTTGGGAGGGGTTTTTTTTTAGGTGATTTCTGGATTTAGAGATTTTGGGGCTTGTGTTTCCTGGCATGGTTTTGATGTGGGTTTTTTCTGGTAATGGGGAGGCTCCTTGGCTAAAAAGGGACCCAGCATGCCCACTGAAGTTGTCATATCTTTGTTCCTTGGAGGATCTGGGAGCACAAACCCTCCTGTCAAACATGGGGGTCACAATCCACACAAGCAATGTCTCCCACCCACTTTGCCGAAGCACAAGTGACTCCACAGCACACGACAAGGACTCCTTGATCTGTTCTTTCCTTTTTTTCACCCCCTTTTAATTTCTGGTGATCACTCCCAGGCTTTGCCCCAGCCTGGGTGGCTGTGATTCATCCTGGCCTGTGTGAGGGTGGGATGGGAAGGTTCCAGCGCTGCTTTCCTCAGTGTGACAGAGGCTGCCTGTGAAGTCATGCGTCCTCTTGAATTGCAACACCCTCAATGTGACAAACAGCCACTTCATCCATATGAGCTCATTCTCTGTTCTCCTTTGTGGAAAACTGGGCAGATTCCCAACCTTTTTCCATGGAAAGGGGCTGGGAGATGGGAGACCTCCAGCTGCTGAAGGCCCAGCATTGACACAGCCACAGCATCTACTTGGCTTTGCTGCAAGCTCCAGCACCCTCCGGACATCACAGCCACGGGAAAACAGCATGGTTTGTGCTGGAGATAAGGAGCTGATCACCAGCTTACATGAGGCTGCTCTGCTGATTTTGGCAGAGGACGATTTTCCCCGGGGCTGAGCAGAGGCTTCCCCGCGGGATGGCAGTATTCACTAAATCTCCAGTGTCAGCCGGAGATGCCTCAGGTGTCTGCTTTGTTTTGCTTCCCTCTTAGGAAAGGAAAGGAGAGGAAATAAATTGTGACACAGCTCCCCCGCCTGACTTTCTGCTCTGATGCTGGCTCTCAGCTCAGGCTATTGTTCCACAGAGTTTCATTTTAAACTCTTTTATTAGATGCTCTAAAATATCACTTCCTCACTCTTGGAGGCAGCCTGTTCCTACACGAGAGATTCGCAGTCCTTGATTAGCTGACAGGGGTTTCTAAGGGACGACAGCCCTGGGAGTGGTGCTGTATCATGGACCCTGTCGGTGCCTACTCCCCTCTGCCCTAGGGCCAAGCTCTGCTCTCACACCACAGGCAAGAGGTGCAATTAGGGTTTGGCCTCCCTGCAGAAGTGCCTGTCAAGCACTCCAGGCTCTTCCTCTGTGGAGTGGGGAATTGGGCTGAGCTGGTTTCCACGTCCTTCCAAGTATTGCACTTTCTCCTCTCTGGCTGCAGACACAGGCTGGGAACTGATGTGGAAAATCTCCATAAATCCAGAGCATCAGTTCCCCTTGGAGGGGGAAAAAGGTTTATTTTCTTCCAATGGATTTTTATTTTAGCTATAAACATGGAGCAGGAGGAGCAGCACAGGAGGTGCTGCCCCATCCTGAGCCTGTCACCTCCACAGCAAGGGGCTGCTTTCCAGAAAGGGACTTCTCCCCCTGCTTTGCCCTCTCTTGCTCCCAACAGTCAGGTTCCCAACTGGGGAAGCAGCAGAGCTGTCCAGGGAATTGCACAAACTTTTGCCTCGCTGTTCTGAGTGGAGTGAACCTGAGCTCTGGTACAGCCCCAGAGCTGCCATGTCTGGGCTCCCGAGATGTCAGCAGGGATTACTCATCCTGAGAGCTCCCACTGCGGAGCAGAGGGGAAGAGGAGATTCCTGGCACCTTTGTCTATTCGATGCTTATCCCCCTCGGGCACCAGTGTGCTCCAGGGATGGACACTGTGCTCCCACGGCCTTTGTCTTTTGCTGGAAGCTGCAGCCCGGCAGGGGAGGGCAGGTGGGGTTGACACAGCTGCAGCAGGAGAAGGAGCCGGCACGCT